TGTATAAACATGAAATAAACAAGGAATGAACATGTAATATTATTAGTAACTGCACTTATTAATGCAAAAAAATTGTAATTTTATCATATAAATATATATTTGTCATATCTCTCTGAAATTAAAAGAATACTGCACATTGTAATCTCTATGAGTTAAGTCTATTTATTATCAAAGCACTTGTCAGTAATACAAATGTAATTGCATCAGTAATAAATTATTGCATCGAAGGCTGATTTAAGGTGTGCCCCTACATTTTCAGCTTGTGCTCCTAAAAATTTTCAGTCAGGGGCTACAGCGCTCCTAGTAAAAACAGTTAGTCTGGAGCCCTGTTATGTAGGATGTATGCGCAGCACACGAGCCTGTGAGAATATGCTAGTCTTGCAAGTTTGTTTACAGGAGCAAAGGAAGCAAAATTTCTTTACTTTAGCAAAATAAAACCAGTCTTGGCTTATATCGAAATCCTCCGACATTTTTCTTTACAAATCCTCGTTTTGTACTTCTAATTCGTGACCGGCGTTTTGCTTTGTTCTCTCTTCTGCGCTTCTACAATCGTAACTAATCACCGGCGCTTACGCTGCACATACATCCTACGTCATCCACCCGGAATGGCTTCTGCATACAACAGTTTGCGGAAGTGAGAGAACAGTGTTTATAACGTTTTGAATATGGATATTTTTCTTACAAAAACGCATCCATTTGATACAAAAGGCCTTTATCCACCCCCCCCGGAGCCGTCTGAGGCACATTTTATTATGAATGGATGCACTTTATTTGACGTCTTTTGGACTGTTGGGAAAAAAACACCCACCTACTCCCATTCTAAAGCTTAGAAGAGCAAGGATAATTTTTTATATAATTCTGATTGGATTCGTCTGAAAGAAGAAAGTCATATACACCTAGGATGCCTTGAGGGTGAGTAAAACATGGGCTAATTTTCATTTTTGGGTGAACTAACCCTTTAAGCTTTTTGGCACATTTTACATTCAAAAATGTAAATACACCATGTAAAATGTCATTAAGCAAGAATTTAATTTGTATTTAGGTACAATCTGAATGCCTTTTAATAAGAAAGCTGTGCTTTGGCTTGATAGTGTCACACCCCTGTGGACTGTCAATTATGGTTTCTCCCTCTGTGTCCTTATTTGGTTGTTCCTGTTCCAATTATTAGTTAATCACCGCATTGTGTTCACCTGTCTGCCCCTCATTATCTGCCCTATAAGTTCCTGTCTCTTGTATCCTAGTGTTGTCAGTTATTGTTAATGTTACCCTGTGCGTGTGCGCCTACCCTCTCGTCTAATCATTAAAGTGTTCTGATATCCTTCATCCTCGTCTTCCTGCCTGTTCCCTGGCACACCTCAACGTGACAGATAGTTGAATGTAGGAATAATTGTTGTTTTTTTATTGTGTTGAAATGCCTTTAAACAACGAAAAAACCTATGCTCTGAATGAGTGAAAACATAAAAGGCATTTGTTTGTGTAAAGGAATGTCGCTGCTTTTCTAGTCAAAATACAAACTACAAGCCTCATCATGTTAACTCGTGATACAAAAGCATTTGAATGGGACGTGTTGTTGTGGTCGAAATCATTGCTGTAAAGCTTTAAACATAATGCATGAAGTGTTATTTGTATCCACGACAGATGTAACAAATTAGTGCGTGTACAGTTGTGAAACAGGAGAAAACGCCTGATCAAACAAACTGTTGCATCCATAGACGTTCAATCATATTACATTTACTTTACAAAAATAATGGATGGAAGATATCAGCTATCCCAGAGCTGGTGTTCTGTATCGTCTGTTAAGAATAGCCTGTGATATTTGTAACGTACAGAAATAGTCCGATCTGTTATTACAACTCAAGTAAACATGTAAAACAGGTTTCCTATCAGTCCACATAACTTGATGGCAGATGCATTGAAATGCAGACTTTGATGTCACTCGTGCGTATCGGAAATGAATAAGAACCTGTCTGGGCTGTGCCCTAAAACTATTAGAATTGATAAATGAGTCGACAGGGAGTTTTTAAATGTCATATTATGAAAAACGTCTATCGCCACAAAACACGTCCGAAACAGACGTGAAATGGAAACTGACTGAAGGTAACGTTAAACTGCTATTCGCTAATGAAAGCAAATCTCATCAACAGTTTCAGATGACTGAACATTTGATCTTGAGGTTGTTATAAATTAACAGGAGCTCTGAAGTATGGTAAATAAATACTGTGTCGCGATATCCAAACCTCGCGCGGTGCTCCGATTGCATGCGCGAGCCACTCCATCTCATCTCCTAGTCAGAAAAACGCTCGCTAACTGATGTGAATGTGACCGATGTCACGGCACGAAAATCACTAAACACTCATGTCAGCGCACCTTCCTATGTCCTGCGCCATATTAGAACACTCCTAGGTAACTAACGTTAGTATTCTGAAAAAAAGGAAACGGATAAAACTTGAGAAATGTAGGCGAGGGGAAACTACGAAGTGTTACAGTCCCGCGACTTACCTCGCGCCTCCTGGGTCACCGTGAATACGAGTAAAGCCAGCAGTATCGAGCGGCTAAGTAACGCTCCCACGTCCATCGTGGTAGAGATTATTCTTTAGGACTGGTCAGTTTTTTTCTCACACATTCAAGTAGTCAGGTCTTTGCTTCGAGAAAGAGAGCGTTCTGATTGGTCAGCGCGGAGAAATATGCCCCGCCCACATGTTCACCCCTGCCTCAGTTCAGCAGGGGAGTTCAGCTGTGCCTCAAAACTACTGCGAATCTGTCCTGTGAATGTTGTTTGGAAATTGATCTGATCATCCCAAATGCAGTTCTTATGATCAGCGAGATCATGAGATACTCATGGCAGTAATTTTACATACGCAGCTGAAAAAAAACCCAGCCCTTAGATGGTTTTGGTTTCCACATTTACATCATATCACATAACATGCAATTATATTTTCTGTATGAATGCATTTAGGGTGTCTCTGTGCAGCATTAAACAGTCTAAATGCATCTTTTTGTGATGCATGTGCTGCTTTAGATTCAACTTTTGTGTTTCCATGGCACGCACATAATAGGAAATAAAAAGGGTTTGAATCATCATTGCAAACATAATGAGTCTTTATATGGCCAGAAATGAAAGAACTATATGTCGTCTGAATGAAAAGAGCCAGGCAAGACACACAGCCTGAAGGAAGAGATTGATGAGAAGCTATTATCTGTAGTTAGTGCACTGCAGCAAACTTCTCTTTCCTGTTGGTCAGAGTGGAATTGAACTATTTGAATTAGGCTGACGGGGCATTTCTATTAGTTCAGAACTGCTCAGAATAGAACTAGACTGTGCTGCTGATGTACAAAACAGAGGTAATGACATGATGTGATGCAAAAGAATGAGGCCAATGATGATTGATTATTAAGACTAAGTTAAAACTTTTTAGATACATTTTAGATAAACTTGGCAGTGAGGTTCAGCTTTGCAAAAGGTAACACTAAAATATTATATGTGCCAAGCGTTGCTCTTTTGCTCTATATTCTGCTTAATGCATCTCCACTCTGCCCCACTGTGATCTAATATTTACCAAAAGTGTGGGGTCAGTAAGATTTTGTTTTTGAAAGAAATCAATACATTTATTAAGCTTTAAATTGATCAAAGTGTCAGCAGAGACATGTAATGTTACAAAAATTTCTAATAAAAATGCTGTTCTTTTGAACTTTCTGTTCATCAAAGAATCCACAAAAATTCAACATTAGAATGATTCGTGCCAGGTTATGTGACCCTGAAGATTGGAGTAATGGCTGCTGAAAATACAGCTTTGCCAACACAGGAATAAATTACATTTTAAAATATATTCATATAGAAAACTGTTATTTTAAATTGTAACAACATTTCACATTCTTACTGTATTTCTGTATTTCACATTCAGCCTTGTGAACATGAGAGATTTCTTTCAAAAACATTGAAAAAATCGTACAGACCCAAAACGTTTGAATGTTGTACATAGTCCCATTTACTTTGAGAAGAGACAGGTACATTGAATCTTTAAAAAATCTCCACAATGTATATATATATATATATATATATTGTTTCTAAATACGAGTGTGTGTGTGTGTGTGTGTGTGTATTGTTCTAAACCACAATAACAAAAGACAAGCACACTTATAAAACAAAACATTTATTCACTGAGAACCATTCAGATATGAAAAAGAAAAGGGGAATTCTCTATTATTGTTTTATACTAAAAGATAAACAACGCTGTTACTTACTTTCTAGTATGTCTTTCTAAATGTCATAGAAAGATTAAACAGTGAAGAGTTATAATGTGGTTGTGGCCTCTGTCAACTTTTGAAATTAATGCCATTTAAAGTATGTACTTTTTTAGTTGTATGTGCTGATTTTACATTATAAATTAGACTTGTTGCCTCTCTTAAATACAAGTTTAAATGCAAGTTCACAAAAAGGAGCTTCGTGGGTGTGAAAAAGAAAACAAAACAAGAAATTATTAATACAGTGCATTTAAACAACTTCCAAAACTCCCTCATATGAATATAGAATATCCAACTACTGATGTCTAAATATTGGCATTTAATCGGATTAAAAATAAGCATCTTTTATCTATCAACTTTTGTGGTTTCAAATTTGTAGTTAATACATTAAACACACACACACACACACACAAACTCTGTATTAGTCATTGTGAGGAGGGGCTAATGTCATCTGAGAAGGCACAGAGTAATGCGGTGAATTCATACAATAGATCTACTCTTGCTTGTTGATATCTGGCTGAGGTATTCTTTGGTATTCTAATAGAAGTAGGTGGGTCATTGATTGAACAGTATCAGTGGGTGATTTATACATGCATTATTTACATCATGCTCAGAGAAGAAGTGAAACATGATTGCAGTGCCATTTCCCCTGGCTTGTAACTTCTCACAGGAGCTCTCTCCCTAATAAAAGAGTAGATTGGATATTTCCCCCAGCAGTCCAGCTACTGCTGCTCCCTACATCTGCATTACTTTACTTTAAAATTTTCAGCTTTCTAGTTCCTTCCAGGGTTCTGGATGTAGCTGTTCTCAATGCAAAGCACAATGAAGTGGTTTGAGCAGCTACGCGTGTGCTGCCCCAGCAGTCTGCCAGTCTGCAGAAGAGACGCCTGTCCCGTCACCGCCATGTCACCCGTCCGCCAGGCCTCACAGTAGCTAGTTGTCATTCGGATGCCCGCGGTATTCGAGCCATGCCACACCAGTTTCTGAGGCCTTGAGTCATAATAACATACCATTTATTAATTCAAGTTTGTTCATAATATAAGAAATAATATTAATTTAGATAACTTGAAGGTTAAAATATATGCAGAAATGTAGAAATTTATATTTTTCAGAATATAAGTCAAATTTTTTCCGTTTCTGAAGCCTTGAGCCATAGTAACATACAATTTATTAATTCATGTTTGTTCATAATATAAGAAATAATATTAATTTAGATAACTTGAAAGGTTAAAATATATGTAGAAATGTAGATATTTATATTTTTCAGAATATACGTTACATTTTTTAATTTGTGTCTAAAAAAACAGCCCGCAGCAGTAAATAAAACACTGATTGGCCGATTTTAATGTTCATATACTGTACGTTTTTGTTGTACTTAGTAGTATTTTACATTATTTCTGAATGTAATAATAAAATGTGACTTAAATAAATGTTTATAGTGTTTATAATGTTTGTATACATTTTGTTTTATTTACTGATATTTTGCATTGTTTCTGAGTGTAATTATAAAATGTGACAAATATATGTTTATAATAGTTGGGTACATTTTGTTTAATTTCCAAGTATTTTACATTATTTCTGAATGTAAGCATAAGATGTGACTTAAATACATGTTTAGTGTTTGTAATATTTGTATATCTTTTGTTTTATTTACTGCTATTTTACATTATTTCTGAATGTGACAATAAAATGTGACTTAAACACCAATGTGACTTTGTTTTAGTTTTTTACCTAGTGCTTAATTTTCTGAATATTGAGTGACTAAGATTAATATATGCTGTAACATATTCTTTGATTGTTCATTGATATATACCTAATTTATTAAATACTGTAGCATATAGAACCTTACTCAAAGTGTTAGCAGACAAATTAATTTAATACACACGTCTGAGAAAAGCAAAAGGAAAAAGCTGTTTACCAAGCTTGATCTGTCATGACATTTCGTCCATCAAAGGAATAAATCGGTGTAAGTGGATCAAAAACAGCCCCGTCGCCAGAGAACATAGCCATCCAGCTGCCGAAAAGCGCATCTCCCTAGAGAGGAAACACAAGAAACTAAATTTAGACAGCTAAACTTAGGCAAGCTACATGTAATGAGAGCACACTGATCAAAAACACTTGATTCAAATCTACTGTTGCAAGCATGCTCCTTTGCATACTTTGAGGTTCACCACTGGCAGGCCGAAGCGGTCCCCTTTCTTGACGATGCTGGAAAGGTCTTGTAGGTGAGAGGAGAGGAAAGCTCTGTAAGTGGATGTCAGGCCCCTGGCACGGGCTTGCTGGTAACACTGATAATCTGCCCCTCGGATTCCATGCATGTCCCCTGTGAACGGAGCATTGAGTGCCACCAGGTGCAACTGAGAAGATCAAAGGTCAAAGATCACATCAAAGTGCTCACCTTTTCATATCAATTATTTAGGAAGCAACAAGGTTAAGCAACCCTTACCGCTGGCATTGAGTGCGCATTCTGAAGAAAAACATGGTCTGGCAGGAAGCTCTTCAACTCCTGACATAAACATTAGATATTCACATCAGACATTAAGATACAGTATACAACATTATAAATGAAATTACAATTTGATTCTAGAATACTGTAACAGTTCTCTTGGTTTGATAAATGGTAGTAGACGAGCAAAGATTCTAAGACCATACTGGGGATATCGGTACCATATCAGTTATCGGCCCATATAGGATTAGGAAAGGTCTGCGAGTCGCGATTCTAACAGGGGAAGCCCAAAGTACAACGACACTACATGCCGGCGCACTGCCACGAGGCTATTGTTAGATATAGATGAGATATTTTGTAATTTATCAGTACGATATCCGATATTTAATTGTTCATGCTCATTTTGATTAACCTTACTATACGAATTTCCTTAAAGTTAACTTAAAAAAGCTCATTTAAAAACAATACATTTAATCTTTAGCAAATCTCAAACAGAATGTTTATTATGAACTAAACTTAAACTATTAAAAACAAGTTGAAATATAAATATTAGATGAAAAAAAACTGAAATGATTTAAAGCTAAATAGAATAAAAACCTAATAAAAATGACAAAATAGCAAAACAAAATGACCAAGAAACCAAAATTAGAATAAAACTCAAAATATAAAAATAAGAGCTAATTCAAAACATTTATTAATGCTATAATAATATATAAATTATACTAAAATAATACTGATCTTAAAATGACTATTTTTCTTTATACTGTATATTAAACTGTTGTGATGCCTAAACTCACTTGTAACATTTAAAATGACTGATTTTAAAATCGGTATAAGTATCGGTATCTCCCAAAATTTGAATATCGGTACATCCCCAGATTACTGTATATGTATGACGCATAACGCACCTGACTATGAACTCTAGGTACACTGCGGTCGCTGGGTCTGCTCAGGCCTTGTGACAAAGCAGATGAGGAACTGTCTTGAGGAACTGGGATTAGCTCTCCTAGCTAACAACACAGTTACACATCAGAAAACATTTGAATAAGCAGACAACAAAGAGCAAAGCTGCTCTATTTACTTTTGTTTTTAAGGGAAATGTAAAGAGTAGATACCTCAACTTTCTTCCAGCCCCCTCGTACCCTGATATACAGTTCACTCTTGTCTAGAACATATGCCAGAGTCCCTTCTGCAGCCTGACTGGTCTCTCTTATCAAGGTCTGACTGTTTTTATATGTTCTCACCTGGGAAGGCAAAGTAAGCAGTCATAATCTAGACAAATAAAAAAATCTTTTAATCTTTTATGAACTCGCTGAATTTCGTGCCATTTGACTTACAGGGTTTCCATGGCCAGGTGCACCAGGCGGCCCTGGAGGACCTTGAGGTCCAGGGAGACTCACAGCTGAGACAGAAACAAGTAAAACAGAATTTTGGTGCATTATTAAGTTGTTGACAAGAAGTTTTAGCCCTGATAAAGTCACTCAAAATGACTCTGGAAAAAATCTGTTTAAGAATGAGCTCGGGCTAGTCATTTAAAGCTTGGAAAAGTTCTCTTTTTGCAGTCATGATAAAGAAGGTATTTGTTGTTACCAGAGCCATATGCGGATGGAGTGCCTGCTGGTCCAGGAGGTCCTGGTGGCCCCTGTGGTCCTGGAATTCCATAGCCAGGCAGTCCTGGATGGCCCGGGGGACCAGTGTCCCCAGGAGGACCAACAATAGAGTCACCTTTCGGTCCCTAAAACACAAAGCATCACATTGGGGCTGGAATGTGAAAGGACTCACTTTCACTTAATAAAATGTATGTATAATAAGAAGGATAGTCTCAGTTTATGTATTTTTTCAGATGACTTACCACAAGGCCTGTCCTCCCAGGCAGCCCTGGTGGGCCAGGCAAACCTGGATCCCCTTTTTCTCCATTTTGCCCCTTGTGGCCATTATTACCTTTAGCACCCTTAGAGACAAACACTCAACATTGTCAACAACAGCAATGTCAACTATAACATGAACAAAAAGAAACTGTAGCTGTTTTGATCACTCAGTAATACTCAGTAATGTCAAATTTGATACATTTTAACTCATTTTGTTCTCATCATCATCATCATTATTTATTTAAACTTTTTTCGTGCTATTTTTCTCAGTGAAAGCCCTTGTAGTCCCCTGAGGGTCCCAAGACAACAGTTTGAAAACCCTGTCACATAAAATGCTTTCACGGCTTGTTGGAACATAAATATAAGATTCTGACTAGTAAAAAGCATTCACATCCTCATAATTACAACTTGTAAACTCTGAATTTAGTACCTCCTGACTGCTGCATTGTCATGCAAAACACTCAACCCAGAAGCGGCTGCAGCAATAAAAAGTAGTTAAGTAGCTATCTCATAATGTTTCTATTTAATATTTCCAATAAATTACACAGATTTATTTTGCCATTAATTTAGCATAAAAATGCATACATGTAAGTCAGAGGACTAAGTAAAATGTCACAGTTGTCATGTAGTAATTATGGTAATGAATGCACCATTACACACAAGAGTGTGTGCAAATATTTGCCCATTTTAAGTTGTAAGTGTGCTTATAGAATCTATACAAATGCTTAAGATATTTTTCAATGATATGTGAGATACTGAACAAGTGCTTACCACATAACCATGAGGAAACAAAGGCACTGTGAAGAAAGAAGAAAAAAATCATTGTTGAGGTCTAGTCATTGGACTGTCTGTCAGTGCCATATAGACACTTAATGCTAATTTTTTTATATGTTTATATATTCATTCATTCATTCATTCATTCAGGGACAAGTAAAATTAATAATACATAAAAATCAATGTGAAATGTGCCAGATGTAGCCAGAGTGATCAATTTTAATCTGTAGTCCCAGGGCAGGTTGATGAAAAAAAATCAATACATTAGTACATTTTATTACTAAAATCCCTATATATGTTCACAATTTTGATTTGACAACCCATTTTTATTAGATTTTAGTTTTTTAGATAAACCACAATGACTTTTTAAAATCTTTTAATTCTGACAGGAGTCTATTGCATTCATGGGTTCCTCTAAAGGCAAAAGAAAACTGACTAAAAGTACTTCTTATCAGTGGTATATAACAATCACTCTTTGTACCCGTGTTCCTTCCCGTTATTTGATTTATGTGCTCCTTAAATATGGGTGGAGCAAAACCATTAAGAACCTTAAAAACCAACATTAAATTAGGTAATTTAATCAGTTATATACAAATACAATGCACAGGATTATAGGTAATTTCCAAAAATAAGGCATTTTTTATCATACCTGCAGTTCCTGGCAACCCAGGACTTCCCACATCACCCTTGTCCCCTTTGACTCCTAATGATGCTCTTCCATTGCCTGTTTCAATGGGGAAAATATCATGAAATATAAAATATTATAAAACATAGTTGAAAAGAGTGCTATATTTTAGATTTGCTACATATACCTTGTTGTGAATTGTTGTTGTTGACCTGTAAGACAAACATTTTTTGTTTAAAATTAGACAACATTTTGGACAGAACAGAAGTGATGATGAAAATATTGTCTGATATGAAATATTAAAAATAATATGAATCCATGCCGGCTAATGTCAGCATATTCAAGAGTGAACGGTTTTGTTAGTGTGGCATTTTAAAATGTACACACCATGGAAAATCCCATAATACCATGAATTCACTGCTGAGCCCAACAAATGTTAGAGCTCATGCAACATGCTTTGGTGAACTTAGGAGAGCGCCTCAGATGAGATGAGATACTGGGTTAAAAACTATGGACAGACATTTGTAAATAACAGCAAAACGCAGGCATTATTCAGATATAAAAATAAATAAAATATTCCCTTTAGAAAAATGTAATTTAGATCTGTTTTCAAATTAAACCTGTTCTATGCTGTTTTTAAGACCATGAACCCAATCCAGAAGCACCTTAGAAAGCAAAGTAGGCGGGGCTAGTGTATTAGGGGGAGGAGCTGAGCCAGAAGGACATGCGCCACACCAAAGCCAAACCACCAATGAGAGAATTTCACACATTAACTTACTGGTATTTTGCAGTGTGGTCTAGGAGGAACTGGGAAAACTGTCTTTAGAGCAGAATTATTTCATGACTTTTGGGAAAATTGCATCTTAGGCTAAAGCACACTTTGATGCTCAATTTAATTTCCATATGCTGCAAATCTGATAAGAAGATAAACTTACTCCATTGAGACCAATTACTCGTCCTGATGGCCCTGGAGGTCCAGGTGGACCCGGTGGACCCTTGAATACAGGTAAGCCATTTTATTTAATTAGATTTAAAGATATGAAACAAAATGGAAGCATCATGTCACAAAGAAAAAAAAATGTCATATGATGCGATTTCAATTTTTCCTTTCTCTTTGGAGTGTTACAAGCTCTTGGTGCATAAAGAAGATCTGTAAAGTTGCAAAGGCTAAAGTCTCAAATCCAAAGAGATATTCTTTATAAAAGTTAAGAGTCAACCATGCCTACCTAAAACGGCTCGTTCTAACACACCCCCACATGTCTACATCACGATGTGGGAAGATTTGCATAATGTCGCCCAAATGTTCACGGAAAGAAAGAAGGTGTAACTTTTATTCTCGCTGTAGTATTGTTGCTGCCGCCATGTCGTGAAGACGCTGTTTCTCGTTGTGAAAGTGAAACTACTTTGTTTGGCCTTCCAAAAGAGGACAAGACTAGAAATCAGTGGTTAAGCTGTATTTACGACACTGTTCCAGAACAGTTCAACCCAAATATTCAGATGTGTCCAGCGCATTTTATGGAGGACTGTTTCCTGATCCTGGTAGAGTAGACTACAGTGCCGGCTATTCTGACTCACAGACTGCAAGTACATTTTTTATATTTAAAGAATTTGTCACTGACTATTCAAACGCGAGATTTGAGCAGTGTAGAATAGCGCTTGTTGTTTGTCATTTCTCCAATCATAAATGCAGACATGGTTTTATGTTTACGCGGCGCGATGCGATGCAATGCAACGCGTAAAAAGACAGAGGATGTCAACAGGAAATCAAATTCTTCATACTAATAGAATTAGGTAGTGACATCCTATCAGCTGTCACAGTGGCCAGTTGATATTGTGTTAGTCAAGGTTGTGACTTGTCAGGTTGTTTTGTAATGGAGAATGTATTAATCCAAATGTATATTTACACACATTTATAGAGGCCTATTCACACTGAGCTCAAATTTTCACCACAAGCATTCAAATGTAAATGTAGAAATGCATTTCTACTGACCCCATCATGCAATGTGAGAAAATTCACACTCTTTTCAGTTTTCTCTGTGGGGGAAAAAAAGGTGTTCACGTCATGTCAGAATTCCTATATTTATAAAAAGTTCTGAGTTGTAACCTCTGAATTTTAAACACTTAAACCTTTAGCACCTCACCGCTATAATGTCATGTAGAAACCGAAAAAAACGACAGCAGATTCAGCAGTAAAATATAGTCAAGTAGTTATTTCCTTAAAATTTTCAATAATTGCAGTCATTGACTAATGTCTTAATGCAAGATTAATAAATGAAAGGCATAGAATACAGTTTATTGTATTGTATTTATTGTAATAATGTCTGATCTCCTGCTAAATACATTTAAAGTGTATTAATAATGAATTTGCATAATGACTGTTGCTTGTTTTATTATATTTTTGTTTGATTACTCTAATTACACAAATTCCTCTTGGCATTCATAGTGTTGGCATAGAAATGCATAATAAACAGCTCAAGAGTTGAAAGTCCTGTTAGTCCTGTAATATAGTGATTGCAGTAAATACGGCATGGTGTGAATGCACCAAAACTCACCAACAAATAAGTTGTAAACTTTTGGGTCATGTGACCAGAACTTGCGTTCCAGATAAAAGTGAAGCTAGTTTCTGAGTATATTCAGCACATTTTTTTTATTCAGGCATGTGTTCTGTCTGACAAATTTGCATCATGAATTGTTTCTTCTTCTTTTTTTTGTCACTTTTCCTCTTGGTGTCAGTAGGCCTTAATATGACATTCTCACAGGTATCTGTTCTGTAAGCAGTGTGTGTTATGCTTATTAACTTTGCTTTTCTTTTTTTATCATTTAATTTCCTCTCCCTCTATCATCCCTCATCTTTCACACGTCCTGTTTGAGTAGCTCGTAAGCAGGAGATTATAAAAATCACGGAGCAGTTGATCGAGGCTGTCAACAATGGAGACTTTGAAGCATACACGTAAGTACAGCCCACACGCACATTAAAATTGTAGGTCATCTTGTGAATGCATGCAAGGCTTTGTGTGACTTTTTATATTAAAGGGGTCATATGATGCGATTTCAATTTTACTTTTTTTTTTGGAGTGTTACAAGCTCTTGGTGCATAAAGAAGATCTGTAAAGTTGCAAAGGCTAAAGTCTCAACTTTTCTAAAGAATGTCTCTTTGGATTTGAGAGTCAATCACACCTACCTAAAACGGCTCGTTCTAACACGCCCCCACATGTCTATGTCACGATGTGGGAAGATTTGCATAAGCCACCCAAATGTTCACGCAAAGAAAGAAGGCGTAACAGTTCAACCCAAATATTCAGATGTGTCCAGCGCATTTTATGGAGGACTGTTTCCTGATCCTGGTAGAGTAGACTACAGTGCCGGCTATTCTGACTCACAGACTGCAAGTACATTTTTTATATTTAAAGAATTTGTCACTGACTATTCAAACGCGAGATTTGAGCAGTGTAGAATAGCGCTTGTTGTTTGTCATTTCTCCAATCATAAATGCAGACATGGTTTTATGTTTACGCGGCGCGATGCGATGCAATGCAACGCGTAAAAAGACAGTATAATCAGTAATTATGTCCCTACTGGATGCAACAAATGCCTCGTTTATAATGGGTTTGAATGTTTTAGTCTCGTCGCTCCGGCCGGACAGGGCATCACAGTATGGTGAGGGGCGTAACATTTCCGTCACACGCTTGAGGTATTCGGTCAATCACAACGCACTGGATAGCTGGCCAATCCCAGCACACTTTGCTTTTTCAGACCGATGAGCTTCGTAAAAATCGACGTGTTTCAGAAAGGCGGGCATAGAAGAGAAACAATAATGTACAGTATGTGGAAAATAATGTGTTTTTTTAACCTTAAACCGCATAAACAGATTTCATTACACCAAATACGCAAAATAATGTTATTTTTAGCAACATCATGTGACCCCTTTAACTTACAGGGGGACCACTAGAATCTCCCTTGTCTCCTTTCCTTCCAGCTATTCCAGCCCTGCCCTGGAAGAAATTTGAGGGAGTTAATGGAAATAAGCATGTATGAGATAGTGAGACTGTAAATAAACAGACAAAAATTTTTTTTTTTTTTTTACTGGTCGACCAGGAAGTCCATATTCTCCTTTTTGCCCAGGTGGTCCAATCGGCCCCTAAAGATCAAAGAAAAACATACATATTCTTTGATAGTTGTATTTATGCATGCATGCTTCAGTTTTTGTTTGAGAGATGCATCTTACCACAATCCCAGGCTGTCCAGAGGGGCCAATATCTCCCTGCAGAGTACAACGATGTCAATGTCAGACCATTAAGGAACAACAAAAAGTTAAAACTCAAAAGTAGATAGTTCAACCTTCATTCCCTTTGGTCCTCTGGGTCCTCTCAGGCCTGGTATTACAGAGCCATCAGCAGCTATAGATACACCTGGCTCCCCCCTTTCTCCCTATCAGACAATACAACAAATAATATTCCATAAAACGTTACTTTATGGCAATCCTGACCAAGTAGTTCTAATGTAGTATGTCATATATGAGTAATGGGTGAAACATCTACTTGCATTAAAGGTGCTGTAAGCAATTTCAGCTATTTTACTAGGTTCTGCTAACCTGAACACATAAGAGAGAGCATGAGACTCTCTTTGGCAGTGTCTCTGGGCTGTCACAGAGTTAGTCCTCAGGAGACCTATTTCAGTGATCTCTGAGTTGGTAAGAACATTTTATGTGTGCTATTCAAAAATAGCTTAGAGCACCTTTACAGTAAGCAATCAGATGTGACAGCTAAATTACAGTGGTAAAGACAGCAGCTCAGATTTATGAATACTTGAAAATAAAATGAGCCCTCATTAGGAAATTTGTCATGTCAATCGTGAGGCAATGATGGGAGAGTTTGTGCCGCATTGTGTGCAACAGGTTATTTCTGATCGCGTTTTAAACCCATACCTTCAGTCCTGGAGGTCCTTGAATGCCAGGAAACCCAATTTCACCTTTTGGTCCTCTTGGGCCCTGAGCATTACAACATTCAAGCAAGTTATTTCCACCATTATAATGGTTTGTTTGCCAGTTTATACCCCCAAACACCAGAGTAAGCCCATTAAAAGCTCTACACAAAATCATATGAAATTTAAATGAATAAGTTCAGCTCAGCCAAAGGCTATTTTAATTACCAGAAAAATTTAATTCCATTTGTTACTGCTTTTCTTTAAAAAAGAAAAAATCAAGGTTAGAGTAAGGCACTTACAATGGATGTGAATGGGGCTAATTAGCAAAGTGGATTAGTTTATCCAATCGGTTCATTTCCACTTTTCATCGCCACATCAACGCAACACTGAACACTTTACAGCTCATTGCAGATGCAATGCAGAAGAATCGATAAGTGCTTCTATAAGTTTAGTAGCTTCATATTTCTGCTTTTTAATACTCCAAAAAAACGTCATTCACTTCCATTGTGAGTGCATCAATGTAACTTTTGTTTTTTGTTTTTTTAAGACAAAGGAAGTGATTGAACTTGCATTGAGCATGGAATCTTCCTTTAATAGTAGTTTCTACCATAGAATTTTGAGGAGAGAAAAATGTACCAACCACCAAATTATGGATTATTATTTTATGACACTGTAAGGTAAACTGGCAAATTCATACACAGATAGATCATATGATAAGACTGAACCCAGTAAAAGCACTATGAAGCTATGTCTGTCCATCTCAAGTGGTCCAAAAATTGCAAACTTGGTTGCCTGACCATTTCTTGATTGATTACATACCTATGCATATTGGAACTGCAAAATTTATTGCATGGTGGTATTGCAAAACCACAATTTTTAATTTTTATTTTACTTGGTTATTCAGAGTGTCCATCTTTAAAATAAAAAATGGTCAAGCAAACTCCGTAGGACCACTCAGCAACTTAGCTGCATGAGCTTAACAACTTTAAAGGGGTCATATGATGCGATTTCAAGTTTTCCTTTCTCTTTGGAGTGTTACAAGCTGTTCGTGAATAGATAAGATCCCTAAAGTTGCAAAGACTAAAGTCTCAAACCCAAAGAGATATTCTTTATAAAAGTTAAGACTGGTCCAAGCCTTCCTAAAATGCCTCGTTCAAACACGCCCCCACATGTCTATGACACGATATGGGAAGATTTGCATAATGCAGGCCAAATGTTCACGCAAAGAAAGAAGGCAATATATGAGATATGATAACAATAAAAACTTTTTGTTGCTGCCACCGGTGCTGCCATGTTGTGAAGACGCTGTGTGTTTCGTTTGCGAAAGTGAAAATACTTTGTTTGGCCTTACAAAAGAGGACACGACTAGATATCAGTGGTTAAGTTGTATTTACAACACTGTTCCAGAACAATTCAACCCAAATATTCAAATGTGTCCAGTGCATTTTATGGAGGACTGTTTCCTGATCCTGGTAGAGTAGACTACAATGCCGGCTGTTCTGACTCACAGTCTGTAAGTATGTTTTCATATTAAAAGAATTTGCCACTGATGATTCAAACACGAGTTTTGAGCAGTGTAGAGTAGCGCTTGTTTGTCATTTCTCCGATCACAAATGCATACATGGTTTTATGTTTACGCGGCGCGGTGTAACGCAACGCGTAAAAAGACAGTATAAATCATTATAATCAGTAATTACAGTATGTCCCCACTGGATGCAACAAATGCCTCGTTTATAATGGGTTTTAATGTTTTTGTCTCGTCGTGCCGGGACACGGCATCACAGTATGGTAAGGGGCGTAACATTTCCGTCACACGCTTGAGGAATTCGGCCAATCACAACGCACTGGATAGCTGGCCAATCACAGCACACCTCGCTTTTCAGACCGATGAGCTTTGTAAAAATCGACGCGTTTCAGAAAGGCGGGGCATAGAGGAGAAACAATAATGTACAGTATGTGGAAAATAATGTGTTTTTTTAACCTTAAACTGCATAAACACATTACATTACACCAAATACACAAAATAATGTTCTTTTTAGCAACATCATATGACCCCTTTAACGTCAGTATATCATCTTGAAATAGTTTTAATGTATAAAGCAGACAGAAAATGAATGGCATTCTTACAGGGAATCCTGCTCTGCCAGGCAAGCCTTCAGGGCCCTGCAACATGCACAACAAACACACACACACACACATACAGAAGCAAGCAAAAAATCATCAGCAGTGACATGGATGCGATGCATGATCAAAGAACAAACCCATTCCAGATCATGTGGAAATGCCAGGCATTTAGCAGCATTGTGCTGTGAGGGGTGGAAAAGATCTTGTAGATTTCTGTATCCTTAGAGCTGCGATTGCTCCTGGACACATTTCTTGCACAATCTAGATTAAAAGCTGACGTTTGTACTATCCATGTTAAACATGCTGCATCTTAAAAAACTTTTGAGGGGAAAACAGTGAGCTGCTTTACGTACCATAGGGCCTGGAGGTCCTCTGATCTTAGTGAGGTTCAATTTGGCTGCAGTATCATTAAGAAGGAGCTGGAGAAAAAAAAACATTATCTTTTTTGTCTCTCAAGCTAAATATAGGAGCAAAGCAGGTTACCAGACTTTATACTTACATCCTGGAAGTTAATGCTCGGTCCAGGCGGGCCAGGGGGACCGGGAGGCCCTGTGATGCTCAGTCCATCACGACCTCGCTCACCCTAAGTCACAATTAATACATCAATTTACAGCATGTTCTACACACAAAGTGAAATTTGTTTCATACATTGTGCTTTCGGCTTGAGATGAATACCATCATGCATTATTCATCACTTGGTGTGAATAATGTGGGTCATAACTACACATAACTGCTCAAAATATTCTTAGATAAACAATATAATACCTTCTCTCCTGGACTGCCCTTGTCCCCCTTTGGCCCCTGTTTACAGTAAGGTAACAACAGCAAAAACATTAAACATTTATTGTGCCACAGCTACTAGTCGTTTTTTATAATTTGCTCGCTACATAAAAATTGACCCATCACTTGCTAGAATACTTATTTAGTATTCAGTATTTCAGTAATTTTATCATTTGAAACATACAGTATACAGTATAATCTCTTTTCAGAGTGCTCCAAGAATGCAAGAAACCGAAGACTGACCCTGGCACCTGGTAAACCAGCTAATCCTTGTATTCCATCCTGTCCTGGCGATCCTGCTTCACCCTGGATAGAGAAGAGACATGGATCAAGAAACATATTAATCCCTATCCGGATGGTAACTGTTTCTCATTGGAATCCAGAAGTCATTTGTAAATCCTTTTTGACCACTGCCAAGCACCATATGGTTAAACGTGAGAATTTGCATGTGTTTTAAAAATGGACACCTTCATTACTGAAATTAAAATACTGTAAACCACATTTGAAATAGCCATTTATTATGGCAGCAACAGATATGCAGGGGAGTTTATTTTGAAATTGAAATAATGAAATTCCATTATTAGACACTTCCATGTCTTTTTTTCCAATAAAAATATGTGACCCTGGACCACAAAACCAGTCATAAGGGTAATTTTTTGAAATGTAGATTTATACACCTGAATAAATAAGCTTTCCATTAATGTATGGTTTGTTAGGATAGGACAAGATTTGGCCGAGATACAACTATTTGAATACCTGGAATCTGAGGGTGCAAAAAAATCTAAATACTGAGAAAATCGCCTTTAAAGTTGTCCAAATGAAGTTCTTAGCAATGCATATTACTAATCAAAAAATTACGTTTTGATATATTTATGGTAGGAAATTTACAAAATATCTTCATGGAACATGATCTTTACTTAATATCCTAATGATTTTTGGCATAAATAAAAAATTTATAATTTTGACCCATACAATGTTTTTTTTGGCTATTGCTAAAAATATACCCAAGCGACTTAAGACTGGTTTTGTGGTCTAGGGTCACATATGTTTTTTAAAATTCTATACATAAAAAATATAAACAGAGTAGCCAGGTCTTATATAAATAATAGGATGCATTAACTTATTTCTGCTAATTTCTACATTTTAAAAAAGACAGCTATCATTTTGAGATTGAAATGCATCACAGAAAACAATTTAAACCAATAGTGTATCCATGCACCTTCCTATATTAAAATAGGATATTTAAATAAGTGATACTTGAATTTGATGTTATTTTCCTATTATTCAATTAAATATTATTGTATTAATTGTCCAAGCAACACGTGACTGATTATTTGAGAAGAGCATTTCTGGGTTCGTGGAATCACAAACGTACTCCTAGAACATGAATTATCTTCATCCAAATGCATACATTTTATCACTGAGGAGCCAGTCAGATTTATTTTACAGACATCAACATGAGAAACAATTACCATCTGAATAGGGCTATTGTGAAATAAAACTAATTTGAGTTTAGAAGGTATATATGTAGCTATTTAGTGTGACTATAGTGTAATTTGACAAACCTTTACAGACAAACCGGGGGCTCCATCAGCACCAGGAAGTCCCTACAAAAAGGAAACAGAACAGCCATATTACTAAAATATAATATATTGTTAATTTACCCACACACAAACACACCAAATCATTACATTGGAATGAATGAATGAATCAATTAATCAATAGAAATATAAGTAGTTTAGTCATAAATAAATGTTATTTTAATACTACTTTTTTTCATAATCAAAATACAATAAAATTCATCAGGGGCATAGCCATCATTTCAGAAGTGAGGGGGACAGAAATGTTATATATATATATATATATATATATATATATATATATATATAAAACATTACAATATAACATTTCTGTAATCTATATAACCTACCAGTCAACAGTTTTTGAACAGTAAGATTT